AGTGAGGTGAAGGATAAAGATAAGTGAACGCAGTCAAAAGAAATATAAAGTACGAGAAGAAAGGAAAGAGGAGCGACAAAATGGTGAGATTCGATATAGCGTTAAGGACAATGTGTGTATACATGTGCACCAATGACATCAATTTTCAGCCATGCCACCACCTACAGTCTCTAACCACTGGTTTCTCTTTTCCCGCCAACCCCAACCACCTAGTCTGCATCACCCCACATGGCTCAAACCAACAGTCAGAGACTTCATACATTGATGCCATATTTTAGTCTGGCATCGAGCCTCGAACCATTTTCCAGCCTGAACCTACTTCGGCCAACATTGTGTGATGACGCAGACGGCGACTTGGCATACATAACGTGTCCCAACCATCTCAGTCGATGAAGGTTCATAACCTCGTCAACTGACTATATCTTCTCCCTAGAACTCTACACCTGAGTCTGACTTCTGTGTTACTCATGTGGTGACACCACGGAATACGGCCTATACTACGAGGGGAACGGTGGTCAAACACCTGAAGCCAGCTGTCTCATGTCTTTCACCTTCAATGGCCATGTTTCACAGGCATACAGTAGAACAGAGCGGACTGCTGTGCAGTACATGCGACACTTAGTGGACAATCGGATATCACGGCGGCACCATAGGTGGCGTAAGTTGGCGAAAGCCAATCGAGCCTTTTGTATCCGTGCAGAGATCGCATCGACAACTAACCCACCAGAGTTGATCCTACTTCCCAGGTAAGTGAAGTGGTCGACACACTCAACCACTTTACTGTCTATTGTTGGAGCAGGTACCCGCCAAATCACTTCTTGGTTGACGCTGCCGAAGGTCATATAAAAATCGATGAAGTTGAGGTGAAAATCCAGTTGACTGTCATTCTATGCTGTAATCTATGATGATGCGTAGCGTCGGGATTTGGTTCGCATATGATTTGTTCTTTCTGAAGCCATCATCATCATCATCATTATCGACATAGGACCAGGCATTACTACGTAACGGTCCGAGTTGCCACACCTCACGTCAGTTCATCAAGTAAAAAGGTAGTGAGGTGAAGGATAAAGATAAGTGAACGCAGTCAAAAGAAATATAAAGTACGAGAAGAAAGGAAAGAGGAGCGACAAAATGGTGAGATTCGATATAGCGTTAAGGACAATGTGTGTATACATGTGCACCAATGACATCAATTTTCAGCCATGCCACCACCTACAGTCTCTAACCACTGGTTTCTCTTTTCCCGCCAACCCCAACCACCTAGTCTGCATCACCCCACATGGCTCAAACCAACAGTCAGAGACTTCATACATTGATGCCATATTTTAGTCTGGCATCGAGCCTCGAACCATTTTCCAGCCTGAACCTACTTCGGCCAACATTGTGTGATGACGCAGACGGCGACTTGGCATACATAACGTGTCCCAACCATCTCAGTCGATGAAGGTTCATAACCTCGTCAACTGACTATATCTTCTCCCTAGAACTCTACACCTGAGTCTGACTTCTGTGTTACTCATGTGGTGACACCACGGAATACGGCCTATACTACGAGGGGAACGGTGGTCAAACACCTGAAGCCAGCTGTCTCATGTCTTTCACCTTCAATGGCCATGTTTCACAGGCATACAGTAGAACAGAGCGGACTGCTGTGCAGTACATGCGACACTTAGTGGACAATCGGATATCACGGTGGCACCATAGGTGGCGTAAGTTGGCGAAAGCCAATCGAGCCTTTTGTATTCGTGCAAAGATTTCATCTGCCACTGAGCTAGCCACCAGGGCAGGGCTGATCCCACTTCCCAGGTAAGTGAAGTGGTCGACACACTCAACCACTTTACTGTCTATTGTTGGAGCAGGTACCCGCCAAATCACTTCTTGGTTGACGCTGCCGAAGGTCATATAAAAATCGATGAAGTTGAGGTGAAAATCCAGTTGACTGTCATTCTATGCTGTAATCTATGATGATGCGTAGCGTCGGGATTTGGTTCGCATCTGATTTGTTCTTCCTGACGCCAATCTGTTTCGGTAGTAGTTTTGAATCCAGCGCATGCGTTAGTCTCTCCAAGATGATGTGGCTTGATATTTTGGTTGCTCTGTGTGGACAGGAGCATGATTCCTCACCAGTTTTTGCAATTACTTAGGTCTCCCTTCTTTAGGAGTTTGACAAGGTAGGCCTTCTTCCAGTAGGCAAGCAGGCACCTTTCCTTCCTTCCTTCCTCCTAAACCTTGTGCAATAGTGGTGTGAGCATTTCCGCTATTGTCTCTGCTTCCGTTTTCAGTGCTTCTGGAGGAATTCCATCTGGTCCTGCTGCTTTCCCGGATTTCAGCAACTTTGTGGCGTTCAGGACTCCACTTCTGATTTTGTCGGAGGGCTTGTGTACACTGGTAGTTCTGTGGCTGGGGTGCTGGTGGTATTTCTGGACGAGTTGCAGGTGATGGTGGTGGTCGATTCAAGAGTTTTTTGAGGTGGTCAGCCCATCGTTTCCTTTGTTTCTCCTCTTTGGTAACTAGGTTTCCTTCACTATCTTTTATTGGTTTCATCTGTGTTGATCTCTTCCCTCCTCCCTGGTTATTTGATATAGTGTTTTCAGGTCTCTCCTACCTGAAGCCTGTTCTGTTTCACTTGCCATCGTGTCGTAGGATTGTTCCCTGCACTATACAGTGAGTGGCGTGAACCTATATCCGCTCCCCTCCTTAGTTTTGTATCCAGTAGGCTGCGCTTCCACTTTCTGCACACTCCCCATGCGTGCCCGCGCTTGTCGTCTTAGCGACAATGTTGGAGCAGATTACTGATTCTCTAGTTGATAGTTTGAAGAGTCCACTTCCGTTCCACCTACTTTCGCAGGTTTCTAGCATCTTCATGCCATATTTCCTTATCTTTTTCGCAATCAAGGCAGCCTTGGTAGGCTCATGCATGGCACGGACGTTGCATGTCTCCACTCCTACTTCGCTTTCATTGAGAGAAGAGAAGATACTTTGGTCAGTCGGCTTCCCGAAGGCTTTCACCAACTGGCGTCATTTCGTCTCTCCGATTCCAGTGGGGAATAAGTTTGTTTTTATTTTTGCATTTTGTTTGTGCTCTGAAGTTTGTTTAGCGGTTGGATTGGTTTTACGGGGTAGAGTTGCTGGCCGTACGCCCAACCTTCCCCCTTTATCTGAGCTCCGGACAGGCTGATAACTATCGAACTGTTTAGCCAGGCAGGTTGCTTCAGACCATGAGTGTGACACTTTAAGGAGTCATCTTCTACCGACCCTTCAAAGTTATAGGTCACACTGGGTATAGCTGCGTCATCCTTGAATCTCGTATTCACGGCCTTCGAAGCCTCCTCAACAAGTTTCATAACTTTGCAGATTTAATGAAGATATTTGAATGTTTCTTCCTATCCCTGCTGGGAAAATCCAATCGTATTTGTCGTTCTCATACACGGTACCAAGTCGTTCACAGGCCAGTCCTTTTTGCGGATCACTTGGCAGCATGTTTCGCGCGGCGATCGCCTCTAGTTACCCTCGGCGCCAGCAGTTTCAGAAGCGGTGCAACAGTGTCCTTCATCATTCAGAGTTGTGTGACGCTGGTTCATCTTGAAGCCACTGGTCAGATGAATTCACAGTAGTACACGCTACGCCAACATCTAATACGACAGTGGTCCGGCAGTTATCGTCACCATACTCGTGCTTTTCAGCGAGTAGTATTTCAACGACTGTCCGAAGTAAAGCCGGCTGCGGTTCATGGCTAAAGTTGCATAGCCAAGGAGAAGCTGATTTACCACAACGCTCAAATATGGCTGGTTTCAGTGCAGTGCAAACTTTGTGGAACGACACCCATTTTCATACCTTTATCGACCGGAAATCAGCAGCCGGGTGGACAGCAGACATAGCCATCGCTGACTGTTCTCTCCAAAATTAAATGAATTCAGACGGAGAGTGATGCCAGCGACTGCCCCTAGTGGGTCATAATGACTAAATTCACACTCAGCAGCAAAAGAGCGAATATTCCCTACAGTAGTTACGCTGAAAAAACTGGACGAAAAACAGTACTTAAAATGAACATGCTCAGTAAAAGCTAAACCAGTAAAATTTTGTTTGTGATAGGAGCAGCAAAACTGACCAACGACAGAGGAATGCTTGAAATAAAAACTATTTATGCATGAGACCTCAAGGCTCAAAAGTGATGAAAGTTCAAAGGTTGTGTAAATTGCTTCACGTGAAGGTATAGCAGAAAACCTTTAATGTGGTTTTCACAACAAAGACCAAACATGTCTAAAATTTGGGAAAACTGATTTCCGGTTCTCAAAAGTGTGCTCAGTTTACAACCCACACAGAGCTTGCTGCATATGGGCTTTGTATGTCTTGCGCGAATACCCAAAGATTTTACCTTCAGATAAAATTTGGAGATTTAAGAAATTCTCCGAGGTTTCCAAGTCATTTCCCCGAAACTTTCTAAGGTTCCGAAGGGAGACTGAGATTCCACCGACGGTTTAAAATTCCAGGAACCCATGTACTATAAGAAATGCATCAGGAAATTTATCATCGCGAAAGCGCCAAATGTATCAGAAAATACGGTTTCCTTCATTCCATTCAGATGACACTCCAGGAAACTGGTAGATGGATGCTCCCTGGATACTGCGAAATAATGCCGGCGCCACCTTCTCACATTAAACCAGTTCATGAACCTAAGGGCATGGAATTGTGGAATGCACCAAGCTCACCTATTTTATTCTCTTTGAAACCTTCTCCTTAATTTTCACACCGTTACGACTGTCTTGCAAGCCAGTCTGAGCCATATTATTTAACACACAAATGCCTATCTTCCGTATACTGGACTGGTGCTTATAATTCTAAGCTAGTTGGCATAATGTATGGTAGCATTACGACGTTCCCGATGCCTAGGAAGCTCAAGAGATCAAAATGGGGTAAACGGACACCAGGTCAATGCCAGGCTAAAAAGCTTCATGAATGGGAAGCGGCCGTGCAGCTAACAATTGTCGTGTATTGAAAGCATGGCCCAAAGCAATTGTCGATATTGGTCAACATTCATAGAACAAGCTCCTGCCACAAAAACCAAAACATTTCGAAGACAGCGGTCGAAAAGCAAAGATGTTAAAACCAAGAAACAGTCAGCAGGTGAGCTCAAGGCATCACAGCCAAGGAGACAGAAAATGGTCAAAATTAGTGGAATTGAATGCGGAAAACACACCATGGGTTCAAATAAACCTAGTAAGCAAAACAAGTTTCGAGTGTTTCCAAATGCTGATGCCTTATCCATATCCTTTCCTCTCTCTATCTATGGTTGCACGAGATCGTAGGGAAAACTCCAAGTCAAATTTCGCTTAGGCTGCCTTCGCTCCTCATTGTGGACAGGGAAAACTGGAATGAGTCTCTTCGCATCAATCAACTGGAGTGAAGTAGCGAAAGTCTACTGACTACTGCTAACTTCTGGATGCAAGTTACCAACTGCCTTTAATAATGCACAACCATAACTTCGATTGGGACAAAGTTAAAATATCACAACACGAGCTGGGAAACTGCAAATGAACTTTTAGAAGCATATTATTACGAGCAAACGGCGACCTACAGATATATAGACACTGACTGGATGTGCGGGATATCAACTATAGGTCAGACCATTGGAAATTTATCAAACAAGTCGACGATCACACATTAGATCAATAGTATAGGCCAAGTCGTCACAAAGGCTTTAACGAAGAACAAAGTCACTCTTTTCCACAGCCATATACCCTACATAAACCTTTAAAACACTCCACTTCTTTATGAAGTAAGTGCTAATGTTACCTGGTGAAAAACGTCGAAGAACGAAATGCCAAACAACCGACGTATCACATTTCTTTGCTTGTCATACCCATTACTCTCTTGTCTCTGTTCGGCTTTTGACGATATTATTCCCATTCCTGTTTTTCATCTTGTTGCACAGCTGTATCCTGAGGTGCTAATGTAATTAGGTGTTCGATATGAACCCTTATTTAATAACACCAGATCGCACTTGGATACTGACTAAGGGACGAAATAACACCCGTTGGTGCCTGTTTGGAAAACGGCGATAGCGACTGCTACTCACATCAGAGAAAGGTAAGAATAATCACTGGACCTTGGCACCTCCATACTATTTAGCGAGTATACGTGTGCGCACTCTTGCACTCTGTGCACAATAAAGGGTAGATGCACCTTTGATGTAGACCGACAGTTCACGTGGTGACTGTGAGCGGAGGTGAGTAGTGAAGGCTAAGAAGATGCACAAGGTTACAGCATTGTGCTATATTTTGCAATCATTCAGGAAAAAAGTGGAAAAGTCGGATCTGTAGAAGAGGGACATAGGTTTGCGATCTACCGGCAAATGCAAACACCACAAGGATGAACTGACAACTTCAACGCATTAGTTAGTTGGCCTCCATCTACTTTCCAGCAGCCGACCGTCTGACTGTTACTTGTAACATATTTAGATAAAGCCTAAAAGTCTTCCAGAATTTGAGAGTGCTGTCAGTAACTTAGAGCAGGGAAGGATAGCAGCCGCCTATCGTCTTGAAGCAAATGTGTTTAGGTATAGTCGCCGGGGATTATTGGTTAGGATGACTAAATTGTTAGGTGGTGTAAGTGAAGTAGATATGATCTCTTGTGACTGTTTTCAACCACTGATGTTCGCAGAGTGAAATGAAGTAAAATCCTCTTGTGATACCCAAAGAGGAATCAACCTCACGAACATAGTGTTTAGGATCCTAGGTTGTATAATCTTTCGACGTTTAACTGGAGCTCGGGAGTAACAGAATCGAGAACAAACTAAGCAAATTTCACACCTGATGCAATATTGCATCCACATGTCGCGGAGATAATGCGGGGGAATGCGTGAATAATGTAGTAAATGGCGTTGATATTGCGAGTGAGGCGCAAGTAATAGAAGTTGTGTCCAAAAATCTCCCTGAACCGTTGAAATAATGCAGATAGTGCTGAAATAAAGCTAGGATTTTCTGCAAATAAATCTGCGTTTACGCATGCATGCTTAAATTATTCTGCTAGTGGGTAAATTATGCGGATAGTCCGTAAAACTCCGCTTAAGTGTCACATTTCAGCATTCCTAATCAATGCATTGACCTGCATTACTTCCGCATTATTTCGGCATTCGTATTTGACTGGGTACCCAGTCGAACTTTTGTAAGTGCACCCGAAGTTGCTTCGGGATAAAACCCGAAAGTTTTAAGGTGCGCCTGAAGTAAATGCTGCCTGGGGTATGTGGAGGTACTAACATGTATGACACAAAATGATAAGGAAACACTATAACAAGACGAAAAGTTAGCGGAAACAAAAGTGTAGATGAGTTATGCAAGAAGCAATCGAGGGATATTTACAAATGAACAAAGAAAATGACGAGACTGACCCAATGTTAGGACTATTGACAGAAGGTCAACCAATTGGAAACTTATCAAGCAAAACAACAGCCTGACATTGGACAATAACATAGGTCAAATGGTCATAATAGCCATAAAGTTAGAAAGTAAGGAAGGAAATCATTCCTTTCCAAGAGACAAAACTTCTCGAATTCAGAAGGTGAACAGCTATTTTGGGGTCTTGTGTGTGCTTCTCATAAACACAGCACTCGCCCATGGTCAGAAATGTCGATTTTGGCCCGCACGGCTACTACCAAATGCATTTCGGATGACAGTCCCGAAAGGTCAGGCATGCTCTCTGATGGGATCAAATAGCTACTGAGAGTTACAGAGCTGGAGGGAAATGGAGATGACTAAGGAATATCGACGACGACAGGAGGAAAGTAGGTGTTTAAGGTTGATAATGACCTGCGGGAACCTGAACGCTGACGGGGTTGTGACGATGACTGACATCCAGGCTGCCCATGCTGTGGGCAGCCACACGTAGATTTACTACGAGGTTGGCCAATAACCAGCTTTGGCCAGTGACAACCTTGTATAAAGTACTGAGGCCGGAGTCTCGTACCATTAGATTTCGGTTAACGCAGGTGTGTAAAGAGAAGCGAACATATCGCACTGCGTTGTGATGCTATCAAAACTGGTATTCACCGCCGAAGATCGCTAAACGATATTGGGTGCATCCAAAGCTGCACATGACAGAGTTATTAATCGAATGCTATTCTAATCCATTCAAAGCAATAATGAATGTCATCCTTAAATTTTTTACTTCAGTTTCATTTTCTGGTTCTCAGAACCAAGGATATTAGACCAGCAGGCCGTGTTTATCCCTGTAGTTAGTACCTCTGTGAAGACCTAGCTCCTCCTTGAAGGCGTTTACCGAAGGTGTTGATGCCACCTTCTGAGGTAAGGAGTTCCAGTCTTTGGCCCCTCGTTGATAGGGATAGAGATTCACTCCAAGCTGATTTGATCGCAATATCCAGCTTTACTTGCGGCAGCCTCGGAGGTTATCAACCCTATCCCGCTAACACTGCCTGATAGGGAGCGACGCCTGATTGTTCACTTCCAACGATGGCTAAACTCGGACCTACATAGGTGGTGCCGCCAATAGATAACTTTGTGTTGTTATCTGTCAGTCGTCGACGACAAGCATCTACAAGTAGTTCGTAATGGTTTAGAAAGTCTATGCCAATAATGGGAAAAGAAATGTCAGGCAGGAGGAAAACCCAGGGAATAGGTCTACGCTAACCTGAGTTGAGGTGGACATACCGTCTCCCAGTTGTCGTTATAGCCTTGCCATTGGCTGCATGAAGACTGAAAGATGAGTCACGATGACGTTCTCATGTCGGTGCTAGAAGAACTCTGACCTCTGCTCCGGTGTCGAAGAGGTAGCGAACTTTCGTCCCCAACGGTCGTCAACGCGGTACGTTTGAAATTGTGTCACATTGTAACTTGATTTCGTAACTGTGTCATAACCCTGTTATTGACGTCATCACAAGCTATTGAATCCTCAAATGGCTAATCACATATCAGACATGCAACTAGATATGGCTTATGCGTGTAAAAAGGCACGGACACAACTGTCTGTCGAGCAGTGCATCAACAATACCCAAATGTTGGTGACACCAAAAGTAGATTCCTTTTGCAACAGCATAAATGGGTCAGCTTATACTCCAGTTATGCTCAAGAGAAGGAGAACTGCGTTAGATAAGACAGCCAACGTTAATAATAATAGAAATGTCTCTGCATGCCCAAAATGCAATAAGACCGCAACACTAAATGTTGCAGGAGACGTAAAGCTTAATGGAGGCTCCATATCTTTTGTTTGACTAACTAGACCTCAGCCACCAAGTGTGTCATCGTCACTGCTTCCACGAATCGAAAGCCTTAAGTCCTCTATAGAGGAACTGAGGGCAGAAATATACAGACTGAAAGGTGACAAACAGAATAATACACCACAAGAAAGTATGTTAGGGGCGTTCGAAGTGTCGCCCCAGGTGGATGAAATTACAGCTCTGAGTAGCAACCTCTTGCCACTGAGCATCTTGACGCGTAGTGAATCCACTGATGAAGTTGACATCGAAACACTATCCAAGGTAGATCACCTGGCAAACTTTATCATCACTGAAGTAAGTAAGAGACTTGCACTTAAAGTGAATGCAATAGTGCACAACGTTCCTGGCACGACAAAGTTGAAGGCGGTGCGAGAAATTTTGCTTAGAACAGCGAAAATGCATGATGGCCAAGCAGAATGTTTTCGACTGAAGAAAGCCAGGGGGATCACTGCTGTCCGATACGCTTTCAATTTAAATCACAGATAGAAGTGGAAGCATTCATCAAAGCAGAATCTATCTTAGCAAACAACACTGTCTTAACAGGAATAAAGTTAGTTCTTGATAAGGCAGTGATGGAGAGGCAGGTATATAACTGCGCTCACAGACCTGATAGTCAAAAGGCTCCAAAGCTGCGACATACTTAAGTAGTAGGTATCTCCCCCAGTGTACCCAAGCCTAGAACTTCTCCTTCCACAAACTCTATCAAGTGAAATATATGGAAAAACACACCGACCAATGTGGAGACGGAAGACTGGGGAATGCGTGACTTGACCCAACCACCTGAAACTGTAGATCTAGACGTATCCATAGGAAGCCCCAAAGTGAAACCTGACGCAACACTAAACGTGACAGAACTCTCACTGAGGTCTGCTGGAGGCCTAAAGTCT